GACTTAATTTCAGGAAATTCAAATAATGATAAAGAGAACCAACAAAATAACCTTCTAAATATTTCTAACCAACAGGATAATAATTCAAATTGTGACGAGCTAAGCAATGCTGAAAATAATGACGATATGGAAACAGATCATATTATTGAAGAAGACGTGATTCGTGTCAGGCACGACTTGTTCAATAGAAGCAGCAGCTCTGAAACTTTCAGTTCTAGCACAAGTGAGGCGAGTGATGCAGAGGTTCAGGCCGATACTATGTCTCATAAATTACGCTTATGGAACGTGCAGTACAATATAACATTAGATGCATGTAGAGCATTGCTGAAAATCCTTAAACCTTCACATCCCGAATTGCCTTTAGATCCAAGAACACTTAATCATACTCCCAAGGAGACACTCGTTCAAAATCTAAGAAATGGTTCATATGTCCATGTTGGTTTGATAGATGGGTTATAGAAACGTATAAAGAAAAGTGGCGTAAAAATTGGTGGCAATATGCGTATAGGAATAGACACAAATATCGATGGAATAAATATGACAAAGAGTACAATTACAGATGTCTGGCCAATATTATGTCGTTCTTTGGACTTAAAGAATAAGAGGCCATTTGTGGTAGGATTTTTTGTTGGCACTGGCAAACCTAACCCTCTTGAGGACTATTTGCATGCATTTATAATAGAGTATTTGCAGTTATTACATGATGGCTTGACTGTTGATGAGAATAAATATGAGATTTATATTAGATGCTTTATATATGTGATGCACCTGCTAGGCAATATCTGAAACGTATTGTGGGGCATGCATCTTATAACGCTTGTGAAAGGTGTAGGCAATCAGGGGATTATATTTTTAACAGAATGTGCTATGCTACCAAAATAATTGGGCTCAGATCAGACGAGGATTTTATTCATCAATCCGATCCAGACCATCATGTTGGGGTTTCACCTCTTTTAAGATTAAATTTAAAGATGGTTTCTCAGTTTGTTCTTGATCCATTTCATTTAGTTCTTGAAGGTGTAGTAAAAAGGTACTTGCAATTTATTTTAAAGGGCACGAAATCAGGAATGCGATTGAGAGGTGAAAGCATTCTTGAGCTCTCTCGGAGATTGGTAGAGTTGCGTAAACACATTCCATGGGAATTTGCTCGCAAACCAGTTGGACTGGAGCAATTAGGAAAATGGAAGGGAACCCAGTTGAGGTTTTTCCTGCTCTATGGAGGGTGTGTAGTACTGAAAGATATTGTGGCTGAAACCTTCTACAAATTATTTCTAATGCTCCAAATAGCAATTACGATATTTTCTGTACAGAAATTTATCGACGATGAAAATTTTTTTTTATTTGCTAGAGATCTTATAACTCAATTTGTCATTTTATCCTCTAATAAAGGGGTATTTGAAGAAAAATTTTGTGTTTACAATGTTCATGGGTTATTGCATCTCCATGAGGATGTAAAAAGGTATGGAGAAATTTCAAATATAAGTGCGTTTCCGTTTGAAAGCTATTTGGGAATATTCAAACAGATGCTAAGATCTCCAACCAAGCCAGCCCAAGAACTATTGCGTAGACTAGCTGAGAGAGATTTTTTAAATGATTTTTCTAAGAGGGCAGCTGATTTCCAGTCTCATTTGACACCTAAGAATGCTGTGCATGGCACCAATAATTATAAGACATTGACATCATCTCTGTTTACTTTAAGTTCAGTTCACAGGCGAGATAGCTATTTCCAGTACAAAGGAGGTGTTGCCTTTGTGTGCTCTATCCAGAAGTTGAAAAGTGGTGATGTTGTGATAGTTGCCAATATTTGTGATACAAACAGAAACTTTTTTGACTATCCATGTAAGTCTAGTTACTTCGGAATTTATAATCTGGATGATATGAAGTGGACTCAAAGAAATGTTGTCATCCCAGTTGATGCAGTAACAACCAAGTATGTTGTTCTGCCTTACAAGAATGACAATATTGCTATCCCTTTACTGCATTTATTTTAAACAAACTCACAGATTATGTTATATATCTATTTTTCTTTCTATCAGTTTATGTGTCTATCTATCTCTCTATCTATGAAACAAGTATTGCTATTTTAAATGAGCTAAGAAAAAACATTATTCAAATAGTGATGGACATGATTAGAAATGACATTCAAATTTTTTAGTTGTATCTTTTTTCAGAATACTTGGTCTTAATAACAATTCTTTTAACTGATTCTGTACCTTGTATGCGCTGCCAAAAAAA